GATAATTTTTTTACAAATCAATTAAACTGTGTGGACAGAATGACAGAATGACAACCCAACTGCTTAGTACCCGCCTACGCAAGCGTGGCGAGTCCAATAACCCTTCCATGTCTCTCCGAAGTGTCCAACATGTATGCATTGTGAAAAATTGATATCCAGCTTATTAATTTCCCACTCTTTATTCATTGCAATGGGTCTGAATACTTGTTTGGGTATAGAAACTGTTAGTGAGCAGGTCAGACCATCAGCTTTCATCATGTAGTGATGTACCAGGTCATTGAGTGAGTCAAACTGGACATGAGGGTATGCATAATACTTATTATTCAAAATGTATATACAATAGTGCCAGATTTTAACTCCATCATTAAGTGAGAGGGAATAATGCTGTCCAGGATTGGTTTTACTACCTCTAATTAGGAAAGTACCTGCTTGAGTGTCTGCTTGACTCAGTCTTTCCTCTGCTTCATCACGACTCATCATATGATAGTAGGTACATGTATAGTTGTAGGACCTATTTTTAATAAATGAAAAATCTTTTAACAACTTTGGTGAGTAATTTCCTTCAATTGGTGTTACATAATTAATTGGAACATATCCTTTATTGTCTGTATGAAGTGAATGCATATACCACCATTGACCATTTTCATTATATTTAACAACTTCAAGTACTTCTCCTGTAAAAGTACATTATTATATAATTGTATAGTTTCTTCAAACCTTTCTTTAAAGTTAACTCATATTGATTTAGTGCTTCAAAATTGTAGCTAGCCTTGAAAACTGTATATACATGTAGAACAAGTTTTATTAAATAAACATACACAATACATATTTATTTACATTTATCCTTTGTGATCAACTCCCTCAATGATTGTAGTAGAGTAGGATCATCATTAATTTTCTGTATAAAATACTCTGCTTTTTCATCATCATCAAGGAGAAAAGGTAGGAGGGATAATCCTTCCTTTGTTATTGCAAACTGAAACAAGTAAAGTAATTCTACTCTTGAGTATCCAATGTATTTCATTGGAACAGCACTGTCCTGTCCAGTCTCCAGTGATTGTACTTCATGTCCATTTATACTTATCTTAAATAATTCACCCTTTTTGAATGAAATATTTGTGTCATTATAATCATTTTGAGCTTCACAGATAGATCCATTGGATGATAGCACTGTCTGTGTGGATTTCACTTCTTTATTTATTGATGTCTGATTAGAATATTAATAAAGATATACTTACTGTAAGAAGGTTGCAGTTCAAGCATCTGTACACTAATAGCTGATATACTTTCCTGAAGTTCCCCAATTTCTCTTTCATTGTATTGTAATACTTCCTTTTGACCTGTTTTAAAGTACATGTATTATGTCATTAAAAGCTAATGAATCATGTATAGACTTATTCTGATCCTTAGAGTAGATTGAAAATGTTCAGTTTCTCTTAATAACATTCGCTTTTTTGTGCTTGCAGCTTTTTCTTTTTTAATTTGCTTGACTTTAGATTTAAAACCTTTTAACTCAATAATGT